AATGTGTTATTTTCATATTTAAATAGCTAACATGGACTCATAACAAAATCAAATGTCTGTTAAATGTGTCAATAAATAAGATGTCTCTGTAGTTGAGGCCTTGGGTTTTGCTGCTTTGTTCAGGTTTGCAAACATTACCAAACTGCCGTTAGCGACCGTTAGTTAACGTTAGCCCAACTCAGCTGCTAAATTCAGTTAACTGAATTAGCGTTAGCATTATTTAACCTCCTTGGCTGTTACTAGTTAACTAACTGGTTACTTTGAAGTAGCATAACGCTAACTAGCTAACGTTAGCTAAAACTTAATTTACCGTCTATGTAAGTTAACGTTAGTTAAGCTCATAGATATATATATATACTGACTCATCTATGAGTTAAGCTAACAAGTGTACGTTAGCTAACATGGATTAGCTAACGTACTAAAAACCGTTGGTTGTTATTTGAATTCCGAGATAGCAACGTGCTGCTGTGGAATGTTGTGATGCGTTAGCAGTTAGCAGTTAGTTAGCTTTGACATAATCAGAGACATTAAATACAATGAAATTAATGTATAGAAAGGAATTTAAAAACCATTTTGTTGCTATAATAAATGTGTATCACAAACCGGTTTAACATAAATGAATACTTGCCATGCAGATGAATCAGCAACAACCTCTTTACTGACAAAGAACAATATAGCAATTAAAGTGATGTTAGCAGGTGATAAAGCTTATGCTCAATACTTCAGATAGCCAGTTGAGATATTTTAGGTTTACCAATAGCAAGTATGATTATTGATGCTCGAAATTTGTTGTAGCAAATAACACTGGAAAATTTTCCTCAACATCTGAATCCCATGTGGGATTTCCATAATCCCTATATGGGATTCAGATGTTGGCGCCCATTTTGGGACTGACTTGCAGGTTTAAACTTGCTGAAGCAGATGATGCCTCCAGTTATCTTTTCCAGAAACAGCTGCTGCTCATTGTTTTTACCATCATCAGTTTTATTGTAACACATTTTAAACAGGGAAATAAAGCTAAACGGGTAATTACTGTGCACAGTCTTCCTAATACAGTATGACTCACACTGCATCACACTAAAGGTTACATGGCTCTACAATTTTATCAGGAAGTTACATTCCATCATGGAGGGAGGTGTCCCTCTTAATTACCCTTCTGAACACAATAATGTCAACAACAGCACACCATTCTTGGACCTTGCAACACTTTCAAGATGACTAATTCTGAAGTGTGTCCTAGAGTCCATACTCCCAGATGGATCACATTGTGTTGATGGTTGGACTGACACAGTTACTGTGGCAAGAAGGGTGTGTAGAGAAAAATGAAGAAATGACGAAAGGATTGAATCACAGAAAAGCTTTGACCTGGTGCCAGGATGGGATTACAGCAGTGGTGTGAATAGGCACTCCTTCGGGCAAAGCTTCATTTTCCATTTGATGTAATCCGCAGTGTAATTCTTTGAGTGGTTTCTGAACACGCCACAAGCACATTGTTTCTGATAGAATGAAACCTAAATGAAAGAAGTGAACCTCTGTCTGTATCTTTTTCAGAGTAATAAAGATCAACCTGGCTGAGTTCCCTTATCCTGCCTTTACGAGGATGTTTGGTCCTCACAACAACAGGTTAGACACGCACCCACACACGCACACAATGCCAGAT